TTGTTACCAGCTCTGTTCCCAGACTGAAAGTCAAAACACAGCACTGCACCAGCTACCAAGAAAGAGAAAAATGACTGCTACTGCCAAACCCAGGACACATGTTTACAAATAATTCTTTATAGTGATGTCTAAGGAAAAAAAGTCAGGGGGCCTTACAACATAAATTGTTTACTGCTGTGCAGTTTCTGTAGTCAATGGCATACAGAGACGTGTATGATCTAACTCAGCTTATATTGATGCATTCTGTTTCTAACCTTACACTGACCAGTTCCTGCATATATTTATTCCTTTACAGACAACTTGGCTGAGGAGGACAGTTATTAAAAATTCAGAGTGAGGTTGAAGCTCCAGGTTTTTTATTCACTTCTTCAAAATCATTATTCCTGTGTATGGGACCCAGATACATCCTGACCACTTCTCCTGTTTGCAATCTAGATCTTAATTCAGCAGTTGTATCTTGAGGCCCTGCTTAATGGCATGGCTATAGAGTGTCCTCACTGTGTTGTTGCCATAAAAATACTTGAAGGAATCCTTTAGGACTAAAGTAAAATAGGTTAGGTTTATAGCCAAGATTCCTGCTGTTCTGGAATACAGAATTCAGAAGATATCTGATCTCACCATGAATGTGATAAATTAATATTGCTCCCTTATATACCACAGCATTGAAAAATTAGAGTCTATGGACATGTTTTTGAACATGTATAGGTACTTTTGAAAAACAATTACTTTGTATTGAAATCTTGGTACCTATTTCAGGTGGATATGTCCAAAATATCCAGGGCGCTTTATGAATGTAGGGTTTTTTTAATATGAAATGAGTATTTCTGGGGACAAATCAGAAGCCAAAACTCCGACCTACCAACCTAGGTGTCTCTCAACCTAGCAAGTAGAGGCTCAGAACCTTCAGGGGGTTACTTTCTCTGATGACTAAAAGGGGACAAGGAGTGTGGCCTTGCAAGATTTAAGGAAATCCTTGTTAATACATTATCACCAGTACATACTCAGATAAAATGTCTCCATTTCACTTGGACATGTCTTGTTTATTTTAGTACTGCTAATGTGACCATTTCTGTGTTGTAACTGAACTGTTGATTATGGCTGAAGGGGGGGTATTCTTTGACTCACACAGTGAATGCTTATTGTATTTACTGTTTTCATACCTATGACTTATTGTGTTCTTTATATATCCTTTTTTATATCCTTTTTCATAAATTCAGTCCATATCTATTAGCCTCAGTACTTGAAGAGTTTAGATGATCACTTAGGTAGTTCTGCCCCAAATAATTTACTGATCAGTTTCACATGGGAGACACTAGTGCAACTGTTGGGTAAATGTTTGTAGCACTTCAGTAGCATAAACAAAGTGAAATTCACAACCTTATCAGAATAATGATATACCTTTGTTTAAGCTACCTCTTCAAGTCAGTGAAGTGTGAAGGTTGTTGAATTACTGTTGTCTTTGTTAATACTGTTAACTGTTGGCATGAGCCCACAAAAGACTCCATTGCAGACATGTTTTCAAGTCCTTACATTGTGTGGCTAATAAAAACATATTTTGCATCTAGACACCTTGGAGTGCGGAAGGATGTCATGGTCCCCTGCTGGTGCAAAAGAACTCCATTAAAAATAATGTAGATATGGTGATTTGTTTCAACAGAGAATCTGCCCTTAGATATGTACTGTTTTGAATGAAAATCTGTCAGAAAAGATTTTCTGCACATGCAGTTTTTGAGTCATGCAACTAACGCTACATGCCAGCGTGTGAAATAGATAGGTGTGTATTATTGGCAATACTCAGCATTTGTCTTCAGGCTATGCAGTGTTAATTAAAAATACTTGTTTTCACTTAGTGGAATATTAATAATAATACGACAGTGCTTGTAAAATTTTCCACATGTTAAAAGTGCATTGAAATAGGAGCTGGATATTTCTTATAATATCTTCACAAGGGAGCCATATAGCTGTTATTATATATATTTTACAGAATAAAACTGTATCTGAGTGCAGAAAAACTGAAAGGAGTGAGCTCAACTGCATGATTTTTGAAATCCAGAGCCTAGAAAAATGTGCATAATTTTCATAGCCCTTTTCTGAACTCAGTCACCCTATACAAGAATGAACTACTTCAGGATAGACTTGCTTGTTTTTAAGTACAGCAGTCATGAGAAGATTGTTAATTGACAAGCAGATGCAGAGTATTGCAAACACAGGTGTTATCTGCATTACTGGAAAGTGGAATATTGCATAGAGATGTTCAGATCATGTTTACTTTCACTATGCCATTATTTTAATAGATCTTTTAAAAGTATTAAATACAGAATTTTCAGCTATAAAAGTGTAATCATAGTGTAGATCTTGAACTCTTACTGTTGTATATCTGAGATGGAAGTCTGCAGAGGAGTATAAACGTAACTTAAAGGAGTAATTCAGCATTCAAATGTGCTTGGGCCCAATGGACAATACCTTACAGAAGATGGACAAAATGGCACGAGGCCATTCGTATTTAGATGTATTTAGAGTAGACTTTGTCATCAGGTGTTCCCCTGACATTAACAGACTGCACACAATTTTGAAATATTTAAATCTTTGTAAGAAGGGTTGATCCAAACAGTAATGTGTTCTTTTGATGTTTAAATATCTAAGGAAGAATGAGACTTTGCAGTTTTGAGGTTACCCACGTTCTGAGCCTGTTCACATTCTATAGTCCGAAGTTGCATTTTACAGTGTATTTAGTTCTTGGGAAAAACACAAGGTGAAGAATAAGTTCAATTATTATTAGTTTTGCTTTCTAGACATTGTCTATTGACAAATACATTGAGTTTGCAAATGAAGTATTTTTTCCTTGTTCACTGCTCAATATTTTTAACGTCTCTCAGTGAGGTTATTTCATATTAGCTGCCTCAAAGATTTAGGTTTGCATAAAGCAAGTTATATCATTAGTTGCCATCTTTGAAGTTACAGCTTACTAGACAACTTAAGAGAAATCCCAATATTTTACATTGATTTTGTCGTCTTAGAAAGATAAGCTCTAACTATAAAGCTGTTAAAGGATGTGCCAATGTGGAACTGCATTTTTGTCATCTGAAAATGCATATGCATAAGATGAGTTGTATCCAGAATGCTTTTACTGATCCTGTTTACCTCACAGTTTAGAAGGGGTTGATTTGTTGTGAAGGCTGACAATAGCTTGGAAACTATAGTAGAAGAGTCATTATTTACTTCAGTTCCTATACAAGCATTGATATGAAAAATGGTCCCATTACTATGAAATAAAAAGTCAGCATGTGCCTTCAGGGATTCCTTGATGGTTTCAAGGTGAAGTTCAGACCTCTCTCCAAGACCTGTGTTTGACCAGCTGTTCCCTGCAAAGACAGTGAGCAATTTCAGAAAAGTAAAGTAATAGGAAAATTTCTAAGTCACTCTGAATATATAAGCTTTATCTTTTGAAGCAATTTTTCCTTTAAGTTAAATATGTACTAAACATTTCAAGGCATTTATCACATGATGCATTCACTTTTAATGTAAAAAGTTCTTTCCTGATCTTGTCTAGTCTTTGCTTTACTATTAAGGATATAGTTCTGTTCAAAGATTATTGCTTTTTTTTAGTAAGGAAATAACTCTGAAGTATGATATACTGTACATAACAAAGTTATACGCCTAGGTGCCTACCAACACATTATTACTTTTGTTTTCACTAGTATTTATTTTAGCATGATTAATAAAACGAGAGTCATGTTCATAATAATAGACTCCCTAGTGTACTATAACTGAAGCCCAAATACTATAACCAGTATACATAATTATTCAACATTTCTGAAAATCTGGTCCTCTCCCTGGAGATGTGTACCGACTTAAAACGTCATGCAAAGATACTTTCACTGTTTCTGGTTTCTTTCTTTTGGACCAGGGCAGTCCAAACTAGTGAGTAATGAATGACTGCTTTAGAGAAATAAAGTTCATCAGACATTTTGTATTTTCATATAGTTTCTGTGCAGGTGTGAAAAAAAGATTATTCAAAACAGCTAGTAGACACAGAAATACTATGGTAATATTGTATAGAAGAAAGGTTAGCAGTACAGTAAAAGTGTTAATTACACTTCTCAGATAGCTAGTAATGATATAACCACTTTGCTGATAGGCAGAAGAAAAAAAAAAAAGGCCAAGATTGTTTGGAAGTATACAACTGATTCTCTGAAGAACTCTCAAAAATCTCCAGAGCTCAGTCTTCTATTGATGCTGAGAATGAATGTGCTGTTAAACGAAGAGATTGACTGTTTTCATTGACAATGAATGTTTGCATTGCAACATTTTGAAATTCACTTGTTTTGTTTTACAGAGGTAAAATAATATATGCTGTAGACTAAAGCAGTACCAAACTGCATTGTGGGCATCTGAATTTATAAATGGCGTATAGAAACATAATACGATTTTTCATATGAATTTGGTGATAATGGATTGGCATAAATAATAGAATCATATAATGGTTATAGTTGGAAATAGTCTTAAAGCTTATTTAGTTCCAACCCTGCTGGCTTGAGCAGGGACACCTTGCACTAGACCGTGTCACCCAAGGTCCTGTCCAGCGTGCCCTTGAACACTGCCAGGGATGAGGCATCAACAGCTTCTTTAAGCAACCTGTTCCAATGTCTCACCACCCTCTTACATGATATTGCCAATACCATAATTATTACATTAATGCTGTTCCGTAAGTAACCCTACACTATAAACAGAGTATTACAGCAATTCAGAAAAAAAAAAAAAAGTGTTTCATTTCATTTGGGTATACTGCTAGTAAAGCATGTTTTGATTCAGCAGATTATACTTATCATTACAAATTGGCATTCTGTGGATATTGTGGTACTGGTTCCTGAAATGTATTAAAATTAAAAAAAATTCCTTAAGCATATATAATTTAAGAAATGCTGTGATGAACTGAGGGCACGAAGAACATGCTAAGAGATCACAAATAACTGTTGTGTTTTCTATTGTATTTATTATAGACAGACAAGAAAGAGAGAAGCAATGCCTTGAATGTTGCAATAGATAGTATGTGCAAGAAGACAAGAGACCTCCGCAGACAGGTAAGCAACCTGGGGAACTGAAAAGGTAGAAAAGGAGACTTGAAGGATGCTTTTCCAAATTTCTTCTTTCAGCTTTTGTAGTACTGCACTTTGAAAATAAAGATTTCTTCTATGTTAAGAAAATACTGAAGATAGTTGCACTATTCCACAGAACATATGCATGCAAATTTTCAAAAGTAAAGGGAATAACCCTAGCAAATGATACCAGCTGAATTATATGTATGTACATAAACAAAGCTCTTCATGTGTACATGTCTAAATATTTATTTGCTTTAGAAATATACTGGTAATGTACTTGGACATCAAGAGAAATTTTATTTTAAATAAGATTGAATAATTATTATTGGTTGTGGGAACAGATACCTTGAAAGGATCACTGAGTCACTGTGTCTAGTTCTATACAGTTGTAAGAACTCATACAGCAAAAAAAGGGTCCTTGGAATCACAGAATCACAGAATACCTGGTCCACAGTCCACACACCCATTTTTCATCCCAGTATCCTAAAACGAATGTAAGACATGCACCAAAATCTACAACTTCAGTGTACTGCAGACATTAGCTGTGTTTAAATCCTCTTCAAGGAACATGTTTGAGAAAAATTGTAAATCATGTTGAAAGTATAAAATGTGCCACTTCAGAAAAAAGACCTAGAAAGCCAGCAGTTCTTTCAGCAAGGCCGCCCCAAACAACTTACATGAAAATTTATGGCTGCACAAAACATGAGCACACACTGCTTTCATGCTGTCTCTAGCTGTGGCTATTTGTCAGCTCCCTGATGGAAGAATATCACTCCCAACTTTGTGAATGGTCCTAGAAGCCGACCTGTGCTACAAGGTGATGAGTAACTGCCTTCATGTCCCACAGTAATCAGCCACAGCCAGCCTTGAAAGATGGTATGAATATAATATAAATATAGTGTCTACAACTAACTAGCTATCTAATTTCAAAAATATGTTCAGATCAGATATCCAGCATCTTAGATCACAAGCTCAGTGTGTCTAGGAACATTTATTTCCCTTCTGTCCTACCTTCACGTCCATTACTTAAACTCAACCTTGTAACAGTTCACTGACTCTATTACAGTTTTTAAAAATCTATTAAATAATTCAATTTGTGTGTTTCTAGAAACTATTATAAAACACCGAGGCTGAATGTAATCATTCCCAATTTACAGTCAATCTAGAACCAGTAGTCTTCTCTAACCAGAGTAGTCTACTTCATCCTGTTCTGTATTCATACATGTGAATTGCATAAGAATTGTTTTAGAAGGAGTGTTTATTGCATGTCTAATTCCTGATCTGGGAAACATGAAATTGCAAATTCTGTGCCTGCAGGTATTGCAGTAGTCTTACTTGCTTTCACTTACAACATTCATTATTCTGCCTCTTAGCACATTTTCTAGAAACATGAACATTGTTATTTGGTCTACACTTACAGCTTTCATTATACTTAGTTTTTTTTTAATGGTATGGAGCACCACAGCTTGTCTCATGTTAAGACACTCATACTAGACTTGGGGCTAAGATGTGCTCAATGTATTTAGATTTCAGTCAATTACTGGGATACCTCTGCAAAGCTGGGGTTGAAGATGAAACCAAATGAAGGTGTATTTTTGAAATCTCTTCAGTGTTGTGTACAATAAACAGAACTGTCATATAAGTGCTGATGCAGTCACCAGCTGACAATAGGTTATGCTATGGGCCCCTATGGAATGTCTTTATACACCACACTAAGTAAAGCGAAGGAAGGCTTCTTGTATCTGGCAAGATTCAATGGCAAAAGTAAATATCTCAAGAACAGTGTATTCTGGAAGTTTTAAAAATCTCTGTCTTTTCAAATGAAGTTATTTGTATTCACTTCAGGAACTTGGCTAGCACTTGTGGGGATTTTTAACTATCCTGTTTTGTTTTGATTTTTACTGGTATTGTGCCAGAGATGTAGTATGTCATTTCTGTATGTGCAGTTTTACCTAGATCACTGCTTCCCTGCCTAATAGAGCTGTATGAATATTTAGGAAGAAATTGCCTATTCAGTCCAATTTCTACTTCTGAGAAATTACCATACTCAGTTGTTTCCTCCCAGTTGTTTTTCAGCATACCATGAATAGACTGCACAGATGTTCCTCCTATTGTTGCTCCAGAGTTTTGATTGGTTGTTGTTCTTTTTTTTTATAGACGTGTTATTCCTGATGATATTCTTACATTTCTGTATTGCTTTTTCACCATGGATAGCTTTTTCTCAACATAAAGAAGATTGCCTTCCTGGCATTCCTTTGAAACAGCAAAGAGAGAGCTGTCAATAAAGCTAATCTTTAGTTTTTCCAGGGCTTTTGCCAATGTATTCTTGTGAAGCAATAGGCAAATAGAGGCAAACACTGTTTTCTGTACTCATCAGGATATGGATATTTAATAGTATTGTAAACAGCTTCTGGGATTTTCCTCTCTCCCCTCCACTTTTTTTGGACAACCTTATGCCCCATGTTTTATAAACAGTATATTTCTATGTTTTTTTTCAATGCACTTCAATATCAAAAGAAAAAAGCCCCATGCTTCCAATTCTTAAACAATCTGCTCAAAGGGTAAGAATAAGACCTTGCAACTTAAAAATTCGTCTGTCAAATATCGTTCTCCCTCTATCTTCCCTCTTCTGATGGTGTCTCTTTTACATAGAGGTATGAGAAAAAAAATAATTATAGCACAGTAACTTCCCTAGTATTGCCTGCTAACACCACTGGTGCTATTCTTTGTCACTTTATGTGTCTCCTGGTATGGCTACTCAGCTTTTAGCATTTTGCTGTAGAGGTAGCCAGAGTCAGAAACAGGCTTACCAAGTAGTGAAAAATTATTGTTTTAATTAGGATGAAGAGAAATAGATACTGCTTCAGATACTCCTTTTTCTTTGGCTTTTTCCTTTCTTTGTTCTACATTGTATTTCTTCATTCTTTAATGTTGTGCAAGCCATCCTTTGAAAATCTCAGCCTCATGTATTACTATGCATAGCTGAAACGGGAACATAATTTCAAACATGTTTGAATTCAGCATTATCTTGTTTTTGAAGAAGATGCTTTTCACCTTTTAATTGCAGGATAGAGTATTTTTTAGAACAAAACAGTAATGACAGTTTATATGTGAAAGGTTAATTAAACCAAGTAAACCAGTAAAAAGCTGCAGCAAAGAAATATGTGATGCGACATTAAATTAGGCTGCTGCTTTGAAGATCGGATGCCTCAAGCTCGCCACAAATGTGACTAAGGTTATTGTAGTCACTGGTTCTCAAATAATCAATGAAGGCTGCAAAAGTCCTACAACCTGGGCTATGCAGAGCACAAAAATATTTCTCTTGATGTAATGGATCACTGGCCATGAATATGATTTAACAGACTTCTGTTGCTGATTATTGTAAATTGAAGTCTTAATTTTTAAACTGTGATTCCACACATTAAAGCTGGGAATGTGAACATGACACTAAAAACCTATTTTTTTTTTATTGGAAACCTATAGTCTCTGCCTGTGAAAATTACTTTTGAGAACATATCCAGATAGTGTATCCTAATGTGGTAAGTTACAGTAAGTCAGAAGATAGATAAACATTCCAAACATAAGCTTACTTGCGTTTTTTGAAGAGTTGTCTGTCCTATGTGCCTGGTGAGTCAATGAGAACTGGCTTTAGAAGGTGAGTTTACCCAAAATCTAGTGGAGGAATTCTTATCCAAATCTTGTCTTGATAATCAAATGACTTATCTACTATTATTTCTGTTGTACATATTCACTGCACTACCTACAAGGACAACAGCATGAAAAAGATCGTGGTTTCTTGCATTTTTCCAGCTGTGTGAGTTTTTACTTCTGCTGAGTTTTCACGTAAACATATTGAAGCAAAATACCAAGTAGAAACACCTCCTTTGGCAACAATCCTGTCAGCATTTAAGAGCTTAAAAAAAAAAAAAAAAGCCTTTTGTGTTCTTTTCTGTTCCAATACGTATCTTTTCTATATATTGTAAAAATTTTTTTGCAGTAGGAAATTCAAGTTGAAACTTGATAATTTAGTTTCATTGCATGTATTGTTACAATTGGTACATTTCTTGTAGTGTTCTGTGATTAAAATGAATGATTGCCATATGTGGGTTTATAACATGGAATTAGGTGACGTAATGTCCCAGTGATCAGTTGTAACTTTGCATGAAACCTAATCTCAGAGATGTAATTTGTTCTTCAATAACTTTAAAAGTTCAAGAACAATTAAATTGAGAAAATTGAACTTCGGACACATTCATAGTTCTTGCTCTATTACTCTATGTTCAGGTGGCATAATCAGTAACCTTATTGGTATAATTACCATGAAGACTAGCATTTTGTTAATCAAACTGTATTGTTTGGTTTTCCAACAATGTTGAAAATATTTGGGTAATTTTATAACTACGAAAACGTGATGTAGACTGTTTTCTGAGTATAAAACATAATTAATATTTTCTTTATAAAATGAAACAGCTGTCTCCCTTGGCATCTGAACATCAAGAAGGAGTACCTAGGAGACATTAGGTTTGATCTAACAGTAATTTTTCATATGTGGAATCATGCTGCTCATCAAGGTAATGAATATTTGTTTGGCTCCCTTGATTTCAACAGAAGTACTACATGTTTGAAGTGTTCTACATATCTGTGCTCACACACACATACACTCACATGTACAAACATGCATATTTAGGTAGTGGGATATTAAAATTGTTCCTAAAATTAAATAGTTGTCTGTGTAATAGATAAATTGCAACTGCAGTAGGTTTCAGACACATAATCCTGCAAATAATACAGGAATACAGTTTGTACAGGTTTATGTTGTAAGATACTAATAGACAGTAAGTACAGTAGGCTTTAATAAATAGTCCACTGAGCAGATACTAATGTAATGGTTTCTTTTGCAGCTCCGTAAAGCCATTATAGATCATATCTCAGACTCCTTCTTGGATACCACTGTTCCACTTTTAGTTCTCATTGAAGCTGCTAAAAATGGAAGAGAGAAAGAAATAAAGGAATATGCTGCTATATTTCGAGAACATACCAGCAGGCTTGTGGAGGTACGTTTGATGGAGTTGTGCTTTTTTTGAATTTATGGTACAAGTGACTTGCTGCTGCACATTTCCTTTGCTGGTAGATATAAAATAGTTAAGCCTGACATTTCATGAAGGAATAAATAGATGGCCTAGGATACAGTAAATATACTCTATTTTTTATATAATTGTATGGAGTAAGATAGTGGTTTTATGGTATTGGCATTTATATATTATTTCATTGCATATAAATCAGGTGGTGGGGAATTCTAGTTAGAGAAATCAGTGTAAGATATTCAGTGGGAACTTGATCAGATGTGTTTCTAAAGAGTATTAGCTCAAAGTGTTCAGAAACTGACACCCAAACTATGTGAGAGACCATATTAATGTTAGTTGTTTGCCAGCTTTCTCACTGAAAGTTCATAGCGTGTGTAATGATATGTTGAAGAGGAGCTGGTGATGACGCCCAGTTGAGAGCCATGAACCTTCTAGCAGACTGAAAGCGTGTTCAGCATTGCTGAACAAATTCACTTGCACACATTGTATACTCATTTCTAAAATATATACATATTTATTACTTATAAATGACACTTACTCATCACTTAGCAATTTGCAGACAGAATCTGGGGGAGATTTCAGTTTGTTGGAAAATCAGTCTTGTAAATGTGACTAAATATTTACTGACTTTAACTCAGTCAAACTGGAGCTGGAAACTGCTGGAATACAGAAGTCATGGATTTTGTGGGAATATTATCTCAAGTGCCTGTAAGGAATGCTTTGCTAATTTTTTGTGGGTTTTTAAGCTTTTAGTGCCTTTGTGTGCAGTAACGCAAAAAATGAGAAAAAACGATGAATTCACTCTGTGACTGAAAATTTACTTAGAAAAAGTATTTGGCTCAGAATGAATGAATTAATCTTGGGTGATCTACAGATAAAGATAGACAAATAGGTAAATAGCTAAAGTAAAAGTAGGGTATTGTATTTGCGTTTCTCTTCATGGTTATGTAGTTACAGAGTAACACTAGTTATTATTCTCTGATTTACAAGAGTGTCTCATTTTGACCATGCTGCGAAATCAAATGAAAACTAAAGCAGAAACCTGAAGTTTTAAAGGTTTTAAGATTTTTAATACTGAAACTACACCAGCTTGAAGCGGCGAGATTTTTTGCAAGGACAGATCTCTGAATATCTAATAACTTTACTGAATTTGGAATTGAGGCCAGGTCAACTGGAATACCCTAATCATTATTCAGTTTAGAAGATGTGAACCCAAAAATCCAATATTTAATTTCCTTTCATGGGTTTGAATTTGATTCCCAAATGCAAAGTATAGCTTGCCATCAGGCTAGTTTTGTGACTAAAGAGGCTGATGACTGCGCAGGTACACTGACTAAAAAATCTACGACGACATGTAGCAGCTGCCTAGGAACGTAAAACTGCCCAGAAGACAGCTATCCTTAGTGATGTTGTATAAAAGGGTTTCTATTAAATGGTAGCCTTACATCATCTTATTCTATGTATAAATATACAGACTATGTATTAAATATAAATAAATATATTTAATAAGATAATAAATATTTATATTTAATAGGATAATAAATATAACATAAATATTTATATTTATCCTATCATGTAATATGCTGCATACAGTGAAGAGAATGTACTTTTAAAAATGTTGTAAGTAAGTAGCTTTTAGGGAGATTTAACCTAGTGCCACCTCCTTTTGTTGAAGTGGTTATTCCAGATTGTTGCTTTACTGGTGCTTTTACCGTATGGTGCTACTGAAAATGAATATAAAATAAAATTGAAATTATCTTCTGGATATCTACTAGAACTGAAGTATCTCATATAAAAGTTGCATAAATTGGTCTAATACACTTTCCAGTATCCCTAAGTAAGAGCTTGATTTATGGCTTTTTGATAACCTGTACTGCTCTCCAGCAAATTAATTAGTAGTTGTACTGCATCCATCAACTGCTAGCCTATCAGGATTAAAATAAACAACCAGAAATCAAAAAAATATTAACAGCTAAGCAGGTGGCCACAAAGTGGCTTTGTATGTACAAACAGATTTATCTGATTTTTAAGAAAAATTCAGTCATTTCTGACAGCATATTCAAAGAGAAAGAGTTATGGCAGCTGTTTTGTGGAAAGTGTAATACAAATTCAATTGATATAGATGGAATAGCATTTAAATAAATCAGAGCTGTAAATTAGAAGCAGGTTTTGGTTTAAGTGGCCTGAAGTCTGTTAAACTGAGAGTATGCATATATATTTAAATTGACAGTTGTAGAGCACTGCACTATTGCTTTAATTTGTCAAGGAATATAACAGATAGATAGACTTTGATCTTAGTCATCTTAGTTTTCATGCGTGTATGTACACATACTTCAGTGTCCTAGGTTTGGCTGTAACAGTTGTTTTTCTCCTTCTTAGTAGCTGGTGCAGTGCTGTGTTTATGACTTTACTCTGAGAACAACGCTGATAACACACTGATGTTTTTAATTGTTGGTAATTAACGCTTATCCCAGTCAAGGACTTTTCAGTCTCTCATGTTCTGCCAGTAAGGAGAGGCACAAGAAGCCGGGAGGAAGCAGAGACAGGACATCTGACTCAAAGTAGCCAAAGGGGTATTCCATACCACAGCACGTCATGCCCTGTAACTGGGGGGAGTTATCCAGAAGGCCCAGTTCACTGCCGGGGTTGGGCTGGGTATCGGTTGACGGGTGCTATTGTGCGTTACTTGTATTTATTGAGTTTTTTTCCTTTCCCCTTTCAGTTTTATATTCTTTCCCTTGTTATTTCCCTTATCATTATTATCAGTGGTGGTAGCAATAGTAGTTTTGTGTTATACCTTAGTTACTGGACTGTTCTTATCTCAACCCATGAGATTTACATTCTTTTGATTCTTCTCCCCATCCCTGCGGGAGTGAGGGGTGTGGAGGGAGGGGGAGGAGTGAGCAAGTGGTTGTGTGGTTCTGAGTTACCAGCTGGGCTTAAACCATGACATTCAGAAAATTAGAAGTGACAAATATGTATGGAGCTTGGTTTTCAACTGGACATGGTGCCGTGGGTTATGGGTACTCCATAAAAATCAGGCACAGCCAAAAGTACTACTAAAATAGGGAACCTGATTTTGCAAGAAAGATAGGACAGATAGAAAGGAGATGAGTTGGCTTTGAATCCTTGCTACTTCTATTATCCATTTGTCTATCAAATAATTTACTTTTTCACAATGAAACTTCTAGTGTATAAACATTACCTCTGCCCTCTGGGACAGTTGCCTAGTCTTTTGCCAGGGATATGTTTCATTTGATAATACTGATTAAAAAATGGAGGCAGGACAACATAATGTAATAAATAGATGATATTGCATCTTCAAAATAATCAGTAAGCCATAATTTGAGTCAGCATAGTTTTATTACCTAGTCCAATATATCCTTTATTGGAACTAGGTGATCTTGAATGTCTCTTCCAACCCAAAGAATTCTATGATTCTATGACTCTGTCAATTGTAAATGAAGCTGTTGTTGTCATATTGATAAAACCATCAGTGCTTCATTTTCTTTCCATGGTATTTCACTTGATTGCAGAAATTAGCAAAATAAAATTCTGAATCTGGTCCACAAAGGCCTGAGTATTTGTATAGTTAGATCTCCAGTCACTTAAAAATCAGTTTTAGTATTGCAGCCAAGCAAGTACAGTGGTGATAGAAAAGGCAGTGGTTCTGGTATTACAGGGTTAGGATCTAAATATATTTTTAAGTAAAACAAACCATTGATATTTGTGCTGTTTTTCTGTTCAAATTAAAGCATGTACTAACAATACTGTACCTTCTCCACTCCCCAACCCAACAGTATCGCTCCACTTGTTTCACTTGTTTTGTCTTTTTTCAAAGTTGAAAAATTCAGGTAGGTATTCTAGATTTCATTGTGTTGGTGTTTTTTCAATTTAAAACCTTATTTAGCCCATTTAATCTTAACCCAAGATAAAAATTTCCCAATGATGATTTATCTTGATTAACTGCCTTGCTCTTCTTTGACTAAATGACTACTTTAGTCTGGATGTCTTAATTCCTAGATGATTGAAGTGAGGCGAGATCAATTGTACCATGAGGTTGGTCTATTTTGAGACATACATTAGTTTACATTTTGTTATGCTCCATAAAACAGTTTTTAATCAGGTGTATCTTGTTTTTCAGTGCATTTTTTTACATCTGTTTTTTAAAGACCAAGGATATTTGAATAGTAAGTTATGACATTGCTTTGTATATACATACAATAGACTGAGTGGGACATTATAAAAACAAAAGTTCATTGTCTCACAAAGGTTTCTTCAACAATGAATTTGATACGGATATTAGAAGTACTACTTGAATTATCAAGAAGGATTTTTGGTGGCTTCTGTTTTAATCTGAAAAATAAAACTTCTCAAATAGAAACAGTAGATCTTGAGGAAGAACGTGTTTTTTTTCCTCTTTGAATATGCAAAGTTAATTGAGCTAAGCTAAACTGCTCACTACAGTGATTCACTGCTCATATTGTAATTTAAGAAACAAACAGTATCCTCATAGGCCAGTGACCTTTGTAAATAAGCTTGAGGATTAAGACCTGTTACAAGTATCTTTCTCCTGAATTAATATTTGGAAGTTACAGTCTTTCCTTTCAAAATTAATTCAAGACATTACAATATAATACAGCTCAGGAGCATGTTTATGAATTCAATGAAGTACAAAATGTCAGTGATACAGAAAGACTGAATACCACATCTGGGACAGTGATGTTTCCAAAGGTAGTAGGTAATATCTTCTTCCTTTTTTTCTTATGTTTTCTCTCCTAAGTTTATTAACAACTTTGTGCTCTTACCCAAGGTGTTCTAGCTTGTGTTAAAAAATGCATACACTTGGGATGTTAGCCATAGTCAGCAGGAATATTAGCTGGTGCTTTGTGGACAGTACTAGTACTCAAAAACCTCCAATAGTGGCAAAGAATATGAGATACCTTGGCAAATACATTTGCAGTATCACA